AATTATCCCCGATATCGGATCGGGACACCCTAATGTAAACGTGTGTACAGAGAAGGAACAAGGATATTTTAGTAGCAGGTAAAGGGAAGGTCAGCGTAGAGAAAAGCATCTTACTGAGATTTCTGAACTGTATTAAATCTCAGTTCTCTCTTTGCCTACAACTCAATATTTTTTTTTTTCTCCTTCCAGTATTTATTATCCAGCTCTGCAATAATATTATTCCAAAGATTATTTTTTTTAATGGCCTGGTTGCATGAAAGTGCTTCTCTAATTTAGCTTGTTCTTACAAGTCATAGCCATTAACAACCACTGTACCTCAAGCACAGCAACCTCTTGCCCATTTCGGAGCAGGCGGAAGGTCAGGGGATGCTTCGAATCAAGTCCTGGGATGACTTCACAGCCACGGAGAGGGATAGAAACAATGTGCGTCTTCAGATCTGTCCTGTCCTTGTGGAAAATGAGTTTATTATCTTTCACTCTGCACCACCGCTCACGCCAACGGTTATTTGAGAGCACATTTAGATATCCTGCAATAAAATGAAACATGATATATTTTATTCCTTACTTTTTTTAAAGAAAAAAAAAAAAAAGAAACTTACTTTTCCGTGTAATGCTAGCACTTAAACAACTTTCTCTTCTTATAATAGAAAGTCCAGATGGATTTTAGGAAGACAAGTTAATGACCCTGCCCCACTTCTTTTAATGAAAACTTTCACTGTGCCAACAACCTAGAAAACAGCATATAAAGATGTGAACCCACTCATGTGCAAATGGCTGTTCTGTGTTAGTCACTGCAGCAGCTGGACGAGGAGGAGCACACAGATCTCCAAGACTTTAGGAAGGATGGGAAAGGGACAGTGATCAAAAGGTACATCCACAGCCAATGTGCTCACGCAGAAGACCCACCTTCTCCGTGTGTAATGGCTTTGATAAGTGTAACTGATAAAAATTTTCTGGGAAAATCACAGGTCACATTATATAATTAGGTGATGACTTACCTTCTGTAACATCCAAAATCAGTGTTTGAAAGACCTACTAAGCATTGATGTTATATGTTCTAATTTCATTTAGAAAGAAAAATACTCATTTGGTTTGCAATATTTTTAAAGCAGAATTTAAAAGATTGCTACTGAAGTCAATAAAATTAAAATTTATATTGGTTTCAAATTCAAGAGGAAAATGTATATGAAATTGAGATAAACTCTAAGACAAAAGCTTAAACAAATATTGTTTTTCCAAGGATAATATAGTACTCTTTCAAGAAATCAAAATTTCAGTAACAAATTGCCTTTTAAAAAAATCCGCTTTTCTTATCATGCTCTATATTGAATACAGTGGCTAGGCATCTAATATCATTATCACATGGGCAGTGCTTTGCGTTTTTCCTTCTCTGTCCCGTAGCAACAATCATTCCAGACTCAAACCTTAAAATCAAGACAATGCTCAATTTTCCTGCCTTATTTAGTTTAAGAATGAAAGGAAAAAAAAATCTTTTACTTTGCTTCCACATTACAAATGGTACATGAATATGAATTTAGCATGTTGCTGCTTCCAAACAGGCTATGAAGAGGGAGACAAATGATATCTGCACAGGCCAGAATTTATGTAAAAAACCCAAGTCTTCTATCTGATTTTCATTTAATCCTGTTTGATAGTTATGTCTTTGGTTTTCATTAAAACTATGACTTATCATTAATTTTTCTGGGTTTCCCTTCCAACATTATGGTTCCAATGTCAAAGCTTGATCCAACAGGATATAGATCAGAATTGTGCACATCTTGGAAGGTGCCATAAAAAAAGGAGGATGTTCACAATCCTCTCATTTTGGCTCCTTGTGACGATCACACTCTCCAGCTCTCCTCCCTCCTCCTGTAACAAAACCCTGTATAGCTGTGCGTTATAACGCAATCCCTAGAAATGGAAAACCCTTCACGTGCAAGCCAGCTGGCTTGTTTTGGAGTGAGTCCCTTTTTTCAGACACTACTTTTTTCCCCTCCTCTGCTCCCAGTACACCTCTCGGAAAAGCTCTTCCAAACCCTCCTACTTCTCTTGAACTAAGCAGGATCCCATGCTTTTCCTCCCACATATCACTACTTAAAACTTCAACAGTTAACATGACTAAAATGCCTTGAGTGTGTTCCCAGTTGGAGCATTAGCACTTCAGCTCAGCCCAGGCGGTCAAGGATGCTGTCAGGAAGAGCTTTGCCATGACTCTGAGTGCAGGTGGGTTTCCATTTCCTCTCTAGCTGGGTGTCCACTGCAGCCCCACTGGGTTTTCTCCTTGGTCCATGGGAGGCCGAGCCTTTTAAAGTGTAAGAGCCTTCAACTATGGAGCAACCTCCCAGAGGGCACTGCACTGAGCCAAATTTCTGGTGGTGAGAAGCTCCTTCTGCAAAGACTTCCTGCAATGACCAAAGCCTAAACACATATATTTTCCTATAAAATCTGTGAGTGGTGTTGAATAGAGCCAAATGCAGGCAATAGCAATGGCTATACTTACATCCACATCCGAAATGATAGAAATACTAGGAATTAGATTGTACAGCTGTGGTCAACGTCTCACATAATACAGAATAATCAATGGAGTATGAGACCCCAGAAGTTTGAGCTTTTATGGAAGCCAGATGCTTCAGACAATGCATCTGGCTGGACACAGCTTTTCCCAGCTGTTCTTTTGGTTGATAAATCACATCTGTACTTAGCTGATGTACAGACATATATATACACACACTTATTTAATCAAAGATTGCTTATATGAATGATTCCCAAAGTGTGGCTTGAGAGCCACCTGTGATCTAGGAAGTTCTCGTTGGTGGTCCATGGATCTGATTCTTTCACATTGGGCAAGCATCTATCAACACTTCATGCACCAATGAGTTCTGCCAACTATTGCCTAATCATAGATTTCTGGGTTTCCTAAAGTTTTCCTAGACAATTAAAGGGAAAAAGGCAATTCCAAATTCAGAATCTGATGCAACTGCTTCACAGTTTTCTTTCTATGGAAGTTTTTTTGGAAGGGACTAGGAGAATGGTGGGTTCAACTTTATTCACGTACGGAGGTGTTACTTAATACTGAAGCGCCAGAAGGCAAACAGGAGAATGTAAATACACGGCATTGTTTGAAAATACCAGAGCTGTGAGGACATCAGCTAAGTGCATTGCACCAAGCCCTAAATTGTGAACAAACATAAACAGCTAAGATACAAAATGAAAGCATTTTCTGCATGCCTTTTTATACATTTCCTTGGGGCTGTCAAGCACTACAGCTGTCATATGGAGTGATCAACATTAGGAGTTAAAATAGCTTACTAGAAATCTGTTACTTCATTATAGTTTTGCCCAATATGTACCACAACTAAACTCAAATCACTTTGGCTGAGGCCAGTCGACTATTGTCATGATTGCTATCCCATAAAACCTCACCATAACCCATCATAAAAGACGTGATCACTTCCCAAGAACCTTCTTCTAATTCCTAGCCTAAATTTTATTTTATAGTGCAGCCTATATTAATTTTATATCCATTTGTTTGAAAACAGCTCTTGTTTCTTTCTGCTTTTTGTACACAATTCTCTTCCCTCTCACCTTTGCGAAGAGCAATGATATTCCTTCTGAGCCTGTGCTACAATTTTATTTAAAAAGCCAAGTTCTTTCAGTCTCTTTTCAAATTATAAGCTCTTGATTACTCCCCTTTCAGTCTGAGTGTCTCTTTCTGATGTTGGGGGAAGAATTATAGCAGTAAAACCAATTTTAGAGGAATTCTTAGGCTAGAATTTTATAAAGTTTTAGTTGCAATGTGCATTTAAGACTCAAGGAGAAAAATCACTTACCACATGTTGGAACATCTTCTTCAGCTGATGAGGTCTGTTCATCTGTTGATGGCTTTTTCTTTCCTAAACCAATGATCTTCGTTATTTTTTTCCCCGTTACTTTAGTCACAGTGCCCTTGGCTTCTGATTTTGAACTTTTTTTTCTCTTCACTATTAAGAAAGCCAAAGTTTGCATTTTAGTGTCTTTAAATTAACCAATTAATAGAGAGAACCTGAATAAAAATAGTAGCTCAGACAAACAATCCTGTGCAAGATGAACATTTGTATAAAAGTTGCAGACTGCAATGAGATAAAAATTATATGCCTTCTCTAATGCAGATGCCTACAAATAACCTCTGTGGTATAAAAATCATGGCATCCAGAAGGATAAGAAAAACAAAAATCAATCTTGCAATTTAATTGAATCTATCAAGCTGAAAGTCTCTTTTCACAGCAGTTGTCATCTAATTTATCAGTATGACTGAGATACCTGCATATAAATTTAGCTCATATACACAAGAATAAAAATCCAGCCAGGAAATCCTTCATTGCTCCTAAATATTTACCTCAAAATACTTCAACAATTAAGTACACAACAAAGACAGAATACGCTTGCCTAGCAAAAATACTGCTGCCACGTACAATTAGGTAAAAGTCTCTTCTAGAAAGACAAGACTTATAAATTAACTACCAACAATTAATTCAGTGGGATCAGTATAACTATTCAATGGCTAGAAGTTGGCACTTTTTGTCATCATGAGGGCTTGGAAAAAGAAAGCTCTGCTGAAAAGAGGTATTCTGCTAACATCCAGTCTATGCTTCCATTAACTTAACACGATACCAGTAATATTATGGCTCTGTGCACTGAGGCATGTTGAGCTGCTGAATGGAACATGGCAAGGACTATGGATATCATTTTTAAAAGTGCCTACCTGACTAAAATCCTAACAATTTTTTTTTAAAAAAGTTTCTAAGATTAAACAGAATCATAAAAATAGACCTTTTATTTGCAAAACAGAACAACCAAAATGAACTTTCATAAATTGCATTCAGTGGCTTAATCTGGATTCCATCAATAGAGCAAAAGTCTCTCTGCTAACTGAAAGGGCAGCAAAAATGTCCGTTAATTTTCCCTGATACATGATTTTGATGAAAAATACATATAGGATAGTTACTGATTGAGCTGCTGTAACTTTATCCCAGACGAATCAATTCCCTTTGCAACAGGCAATATTTAGTGGTTATGGACTTGTATAAACTGAGGAAATAAAGGACAAAATATTCATATTTTCATTTAAATTACTGTATCAATGGATGAACTGGGAAGAATGGACAGAAATTAGAGAAGCAGTTTGGGACTCACAATGGGATAATTTATCATATTTAATTTAATTGTTAGGAATCATGGAACATTATTCAGAAATTGCATCTGTAGCCAAGACCATACAAATCTGTCACCTGCTGCATGAAGTGCTGAGGAGGAAAGGCAGCTCTTCAGGCACGGAGAGCTGTTCACCAGCAAACTCCAATACAGCAACACGCCTGTGCAAGCAAAGGTCTAATTCTCCACTCCTTTGGGAAAGGTGTTCACAACTTATATTGTGCTCCCTACACATGCAACGAGCTCCCGTGTTTGAGGGAGGAAGGCCACCAGTCCCATCTGCTCGTGTCACCTCCTGCCTGTGGGAAGGCCCGAAGGCAGCGCTGCCTGCAGATGGGTTTCTGTCCCACACAGCAGCAGCCAATGACCAGCTGTGGCTGTTGAGCGGGGAGGAGATGAAAAGCATTGAAAAAAGCCAGAGACTGAGAAAAACTCATCTTTCTAAGACAGAAGCCCAAAGGAGCCATTCTCATGTGCATGAACAGACAGTGAAATAAGGCCACTTCAGTGTTTTGTTGTGTTGGGGTTTTTTTCTGTCCTATCTTCCTTTCACATTGCTGTTTCATTATCCTGCAGAACTGAGAGGAAGCAGAAATAAGGCCTTCATTACTTCATCTTTTTGAGTCTAAAGAATACACTGATTGCCTGACTGCCAGTGATTTTTGTCACAAAAGCCTTTTCTTCTCATTTCCTTCCCCACAGCAAAATGAGCAGCTGGTTAGGAGCAGAGTAGAGGCTGGCCGATGAGTGACAGCTGGAGATGACTGCTCTATAGAGTGTCCCACCCCACGTACTCCCTTAAGCGTTTCCTATCCATTGTTTAAAAAAATGGCGTAACTTCACCCAGAACCACTTAAAATGACAACAGGGATATTTTAATTTCATTGCAGTCATTAATGCTTATTATTTTTATTGCTGAATATTGAAGGTCACAATTTTCAAAAGCAACTAGTATTTTTAATCACCCTCCTTGAAACATCTAAGCTAGGTTGGTTTTACAGCAGCACGTGCTCCATCAGCATGCCTCTTGTGGGGCACCTGAGCCACCAGACACTTTTGGACAATATGAACTACATAGCTTTTGGGTCACAGATGTTTCTCAGCAGGTTTCAAAGGCTAAAACAGTAGTGCACTTTTTGAAAGCTTAGTAGAAGATTTTATAGGGTGAAATCTAACCATTTACCACAACTTCTAAAAACCACAAAACCTGACATTGTTCTATGTTGTGGGGTATGTGAGAGATCTGTATAGTCAGGAAATGTTGGAAAATGACCTGGGGAGAAGATAAAGGAAACGAGTCAAAAGGCGAGACAGCACTGGCACCAAGGCCAGTATTGACATTGTGCTCACTGCAGCTCACATTACTCTTCAGCTTGACAGCTGCAGGAAAACGTCTTACCTAAATGATACCATTCCTATATGGTGAGTTAACAAAGTCACAGAATTTCTTCTGTGGTAAGGAGCACAGAGCGGGGTGAGGTGTGCCTCTTAGAAGGACTACAAAACATGCATGGCTCTAAAGTACCATATGTAAAATTATATACATATATACTCACAAACCCATTGATATTACTAATTATATACATTTTAGTATTTTAGCATAAATAATCATACAAAATAGTTTATGTATCTATATAAACACAAATACATAAACTGTGCATATATATATATATAAATACAAATATATACTACTCATTATTCTTTCATTCTAGTGTTCAATGACAGCTTTTTTGCTTAGAAGCTATATGTCCACTATTTACATTGTCCCTATACAGTTACTAAAAGCAACTGTTAGTTGCCTATAGTGGTCACCCAAGCGCTAAAAAACTAATTTTGAACACACAAAAGGTTAAGTCAAAATTTCTTTATCTGTTTCCATCTACTAATTATATTTATTTTATTTGCACCATGAAAACATCAAATGCCTTCTGTTACTGCAAAATTTTGAGAATTCACTCTTGACATAATTCAGCTTTCAAGTTAAATTGAATCCTAATGAAATTATAAAAAAAAAAAAATTATCACCCATTTTTAACAGACAAAAGCCAGGCATTTCACTACCCATCACTCCCTACATGTGCATACTATTTACATCAAGCCTCTCTGGATCTGAGATATACCTTGTTCCTTCCCATTGCACACGGTAGTGATGCCATTTTCCACAGCACCCTCCCCATCTGAGCTTGGCCTCTCAGATGACAACTTCTGCAGGGATAAAGAGATTAGCTGACATACAATGTTGGCAACGTCACCAAATGAAGTGTCATGAGTCAATTTAAAAGTATGCTTACTGTGAAGTAAAATAAATTTCAAGCTGTCATCCATTTAAAAGACAAATAGAAGATAATAAAAAAATTCAGTTTTAGAGGGGTTTTTTACATTGCTGTATAAGCTTTAGAAAAGCACAGAAACCACAAAATAGGTCTATATTTGAAAGTACAGTCAAAACAGTGAAATAATCAGAATTCAATAGCTCTTATTGCACAATATATTTTTAATTAATTTATAGACTCTAAACATTGCTGTTTATTAATCTGCTAAGCAATGAACAATAATATGGATCAGATAAGAATAACTTTAAAATTAATTCTTTAAAAAATGTTTTCACATGGCAGAAGTCTTAATTCTGTAGGATGTGTGCACATATCCAAACCAACAAAAACAACACAGGGGCTGATAGTCTAAAACAGCAGCACCAGTCAGCAAATAGTTATTGAAGACTGACCCAGAAAATGGTCTAACATGAAAAAGCAAAGAGATGAAATCCAGAACTGAAAATCAGTTTCAGCTTTGTGGACATCCCTTAAACCATGCAGTGTCTAGCAGTGCCTCTATATTCACAAGGAATTTGGCATTCATCATTTTGTACTTTACCTTTTCCAGTTCCGTCTTGTGTACTGGAGAACTAGACAATGGTCCATCGGAGTCTACCACTCCCGTACAGTTGCTGCATACATCTTTTATAACCTTAGGAGACAAAGCAAAACTTACTAATTATTCAAAAATACAAATCAGAGAAATTATATATGAACGTGAAGGGAGATGGGAAGGAGAATCCTACAGATATTTACTAGGCTGGCAGATGTTAGGCAGGCTGTTACTACACCAGCTTCTCCACACTGCCTCCCTCAGTCATTTCAGGTCCAACCTGGGGGAGACATAATGTCTAGTGGTGGAAGGTTTCAGTTTCTAGACAAGCTAAGCCCAAGGTTCTCCTGAGTAAAGAAACCGACAGCGCTGCTGATTCCCACATGTTAGTTTTGCAGTATGAACTCAGCTGATACCACCAAATTAATTTCATTATGATGGAAAAGTGGGATTAGATCCAAAGTCCTGCATGTCAAAGGACAAGAGTTTTGCATAATACAGCTGCTCTTTTTTTACTATTGGAGAACTAATGAAGTGCTGATCAACTCTGAGTTAATACTGCACAATGGTATTTTGTGGTATTTTTGTATTATACTTGCACATTGACATAAAGGTATAGGTCAAAGTAATTGTAAATGTGTTCTTGGGAATCGGAATGGCATTAAGTCTGCTATTAAAAAATTAAAGAAAAATACAGAACTGAATTCACTGAGATTTTGATAGAACTTTAAGAACTTCCAAACCTGAAACTATATAAATGTAAAAATACATGATGAGTAAAGACATTTGATGATTCCTTGTGGGCATAATTGAGTTTTTTATATCTTATGAGGTTACCGTCAGCCCTTTATCAGTCTGAACTTGTTCATGCTGATTAGAACAGGTTCTGACTCTCCATCCAGACTCATGCCGAGGCGGTGCTGAGCGCCACACTGCTGGCTACAGCCATGCAGCCATGCCAGGACAGCAGAACCAGGCAGGCTAAGAAAGAAAGACATTGTACTCTGCTGGAAGCATTACTGCTAGACATGCAAAGTTTCCTTTTTACATGTGCATGTACATGTTTATATATCCAGCTTCTCCCTTCACACTGTTTACAACAAGCCCGGCTGGTAGAAAGGAGGATCTGGCCTGAGAACTCCCAGTTTCAGGGAAAACAGCAATTAGCTAACTGACAAAACACAGTTTTTGTTAAAGGAGAGGAACAGCAAAACAGCAAAAAACATCTTTTCCATTTTGAACTGAATAATTTTGATGTGGAAAGCATTAAAGAGTTAAAGATGGCACCAAACAGTCCTTTCACAGCACTGAAGTTTCCTTTAAGGGTGAAGGTAAACAAATCAAATGTTTATGGGCTTACAAAGAACCTATTGCTAGAACTCAGGAGCACATCATCAATTACTGGCACCATATGCCATAAAGAAAGAGCGAGCACCAGCCCCATTTTACAGATGGAGAACTTGGGAACAAAAGCAAGATTAAACCACTCGCTCAAAGTCATATAAAAAAAGAGCAGGGAAATGAACCTACACTTTTACTTCTGAGCTAGTATCTTAAACCACTTCAGCATCCTTTTTTGACCATCTGAACTTCCCTATATCTTGTCCCAGAAACATAAGCACAGTATATCATGGCACTTGGTGTCCCTGGTAACAGAAAATTTAGATATATCTGTTGCAGAGCATTTGCACCTCAGAGTTAAATATAGACCTAAATTCCCCAAAATAGTTAGAATTTTTTTATGTGCGTTTTATTTTCAATTGCTGGTCCTCAGTACGGTGTAAATACACTGCTGTTTTCTTCCTAGAGAAATGTGACTGTATAGTTTCTGGGAACATTAATTTCTGTCTCCTACATGACCCTGATTGAATGGCTCATGTTTTCAGCATCTGCTCACACCACACAGTTAGTTAATTTTGGCAAAGGCAGATAGTAATGGGAGTTACAGACAGAACAGAGGGAAATGATTTGGCAGCACTAACTGAATAGTATGTGCAAAGTCATACACTCAAGTAAATCCGGTTCTTATCATACCTCACATATTTAAGGAGAAGCCAAAGTGTTTAATTGGGTTGTAATTAAATTTTGATTTAAAAAATGAAACACTATCAAATGGAAGTTCATGGTGAGATCTGAAGTAAATGCATATTCAAAGATCCAACACTTCATTTGGGTTCAAGGTGTTCACTGGCAAAGGCTTGCTCATCACCTTTTATGTGCAATATAATTGTGTTCGATGCAGAGCATAAAACTCATACTTCTACAGCTCACCAGATGAAATGCCTTTAATATATAATGGTTGCCTGGATGCACTCTCTATAATTATGTTTGCAGACAGCTGCCATTATATATGTGGTTTTCACATGCTTATAGCTTTAACTCAAAATTTTAAGGATGAAACATTCCACGAGTGTTGCCAACTTGCATAATTTCTATCACAAGACTCGGCAGTTTTGTCAGTTTTTTTCTACAGTCTCCTGGAGTCATATGAAAACAAAAAATCACTATTTTTATTAAAATACAGTTGTGAGTGAGAGTGGGGAAAGGAGGTCAGAAAACTTTTATCCATTGCAATGAAATGTGTGAAAAGATTAATAAATGTATCTCAATGGGTCCAAAACCAGAAAGCAAATGAAAACAATCCTCAAATGTGTTATTTTTAATAAAATGGCATAATCTGGAAGGCTGTACTGAGAACACTTTGTGATGGTGCATACTCGACTAATAGTTCAAGTTTTCCCACACATTAGAAAAGGGAAATCATTCTCTTTTTCTTACTACAAATGCTTTTGTACGTTACATAAACACACACAGGATGATCTGCCAGGAAAATCATCTGAGGTCATAAACAGACTATGTATTCAAATATTTAAAATATATAAGCAAATATAATCAGAAAACTTAAGACCTTTCATTTCTTTGGATAGCCTCAAAACTAAATACATGTAAAATAATCTGTTATTCCATCACAAGAATTTTAAATAGCACAGTTAGCATTACAATGTTACAATCAGTATACTTCAGAACTGCTTCTTTCAAATACAGACCTGGAAAAAGCTTGTGCAGCCTGAACTATATTATTATTCCTTATTTATGTTATAGAAAGGTCTTGAATCTCCAGCTGGATCAGTATATACACCAGTGCGTCACATTGACTCCAGTGACATGAGGAATAGAGGGGAAAATATTTGCAGGTACAAAGCTGGAAAGATTCCCTGTCCCAAGCCATTGACAGGGATGGGTGAAGTCAGTGGAATTTCTGCCACGTGGTGTGTCTGGAATATTCTCTCTTTAAAACTATCTTACTACACAAGCACTAACATTTACTATAAAACCTTCATACCTGCTATCACCCACAAATTTCTATAGTTATTCTATCTTACTTTAAATGGCACACCATGACTGGAGGCAAAAAACCTACCCTACATGCAGTCAGAAGAATCAAATTAGATTTTTCCAGCTACTATCAAAGATCCAGGCTGCAGATAAAAAGCACTGGCTTTGCAGTAAAAGCAGAGAGACAGCTGTTTGCCAGCCAGACCCTGCCACACATAAACCAAACAAATTCTGAGTAAAAGTACTAAATTTCTTGCTGGTTTCTTGTAGTTGATCTCTTTGGGACCTGATAAGGAATAAGGCTGAGTCTGCCTGTGTTTGAGGAGCTTGCAGACCTCTCTCCTGGTGGATACAGTGGGACAAGTTCAGGCTACAGGCTGTGCTCACCACAGGGATGTGTCACGGCACCTTGTTTCGTGCTTTCATGAAAGTCAAAGGAGAAGCTCACATTTTTAATATGATGGAGTTCAAAAGTGATTAGGGAGAAAGCTGACAGCCTGACTGCACATCTGCTTCACTTCTGTATGTAGCCAGGCTAGAAATCCATCCAGGCAACCCAGTCCTTCATCCCCATCTACCCACGTGTTTCGTAAATACAAGAATTGCTAGAAATGGGACAGACTGAATCCCCTGTCTCTGCTGCTTAACTCTGAAAACAGGAATATGGTAAAGCTGAAATCTGTTTATGCACAACACAGCAGAGGGAAAAGGGTTTGGCTCCAGATGTAACTCCGTATTTCTTACTCCTGAAACGCTCCTGTTTCAGGGCTGGAGCAGTATGACTCTCTGGGACTTATTGTCATTTTGGCATGACTAAATTCTCATTATCTCTCTCTTTTGGACCCTTATACACCACATACATCAGCATCAACCTCCTTCTCCTTAAGAGAGCAACAAAACTCTATCAGCATTTTGCAGAGAACAAATGCCCCAAGGAGTTTACCTAGATAAATTAAAGGGAAAGCAGAAATTATTCACATCATAGTCTACGCTTTAAGTCTCAAAAAGAAACCCCCTTTACCTTCCATACTAGCAAAAAGCATTCTCAAGCATCCCATTGCCTGAAAGATTAATCTTTCTGCCTATTGCTCATTTGTCTGAGCAAAGTGGGGATGAGATTCTAGCAGACTAGCAGCCAGCAAGCCTATCTTTAGTGCCTGTATATCCCCTCCAAAAATACTTTTCTGACATATTCAACCAAGACAACCCCTGTAGCCTTTCTCCTGTGTTATTACCATGAAGTCTATTGCCATATATGGCCAATGGATTAGTAGAGGCACTGGGTGGATGCAGAGGGCGGATGGAGGCACTGCTGCAAGGGCAGAGGTATCCTGTTGCAAGGGGAGCCGCATCCCCAGCCCAGGTGGGGCAGAGATGCAGACTGCACTTTAGGCTGTAAATCTGAGCTAGGTATGATTTAAATAATTTTCCATCCAAAGCTGTGAGTAGGAGAGACGAGGACTGCAATCTCATGGTGAAAGCAAGTGATCAAGTCTCAGCCGTCCTGGGTTCCGCTCTGAGATCTGCTACAGCTTGCATTTGTGATCTTAGCCAGGAACTTAAAGAAAACTTACCCCTGAGAAAACAAACAAATAGGATGTTTGTGGTTCTGTATTCCCTGGTGGTTTTTTTTAAAAAGTTTCCATATGCACCCGCTTTTTTTAAGTAACGTACTGTTTTCCATGGTGCCGGTCACACAAACACACTCTGGTTCACAGCCAGGATGGGGTCCTCCGGCTCTGTCAAAGCCTGCTGGCAGCAGT